ATAAAAAAAATTAAAATAAAAGAATAAAAAAAAAAAATCAATCACCTTCTCCACTCACCCAATTAAAACGGACAAATGGATTCACAGACGCGGAAAATTTCCTGTTCACTTACAAAATCAATTCTCAGATAATAGCTGGTCTAATAGAGTTTTTCTTGGTTCCTCTTCTCAGATGAAGCCCTAATTCAAGAAAATAGAAGAGATTTTCTTGGTTCCTCTTCTCCGCATGTTGATAATAATCAGGAAATTATTAAGAGGCCAAATTCAAGAAAAAAAAGGAATTTTTCTTGATAATTCTTCTCCACCCAAGATCGCTTTGCTTTTGACTAGGAGCAAATATGCTCCCTACAAGTCTTCATCATTGGTCAGCTGGTTTTAGAGTTCTCCCCCGTTAGCTACAACAGAAACAGAGAATAAAATAGTGAGGGAAGCAAAAATAATGAATGAATTTCAAGAATTAAAAAGCCCCTGTTGTGAAAATGTGGCCGTTGAGTCAAGAAATAGCCATGAAGTTCAAGAATGTGAAGGTTCATTAAATAATGTTCAAGAATGTGAAGATTTGGAGAGGTGGCGCCGGAGTTGTGGTGGTGAGGTGGTGCCGTTATTTTGGGGGGTTTTAGTTTGGGGTGGGGTGGGTTTTTATTTCAGTATTTGATTTTAGTTTTTTTTATATGAAAAAAATGTAAAGTTGCAATTTTGCCCTTTAAAAATTAGTCAACAATTAGTCGAGCTTTTAATTTTTGGTTAACTAACGATTTTTGTCAATTTGGACTCTCGGTGCGAGTTTTTAAATGTTTGATACCGTGGGTGGCACAAATGAAAGATTGGAGCAAAATTTGCAACTAAATGAAAGGTTTTGGTATCCCTATAAAAAAAAGTGTCATTGTGTCATTTTTTTTATATAAAAAGTGACATGACATCACTTTTTTAAGTTAAGTGTCACTTTTTTATTAAAAAGTGGCACATCATTAAAAAGAGATGTTTATCACTAAAAAAAGTGACAAAAATTTGAAGAATGTGATAGAAAAAAAGAAGTAAAAAATATCGTGTAAAATTAAGTGACATAATGTCCTTTTTTTTTAATTTTAAAAAAAGGTGACGCAATATCACTTTTATTAAAAAAAAATGATGTTTGTTACGTAAAACTGTGACAGAAATTTCAAGAAAGTGACAAAAAATAAAAATAAAAAGTGACAAACACTTGAAAAAGTGATAAATACTAAAAAACTGATAGATAAAAAAAAATGGATTACACTAAAAAAAATGAGAAATACCAATCAAAGCAAAAAAAAAAAAAAAAAAAAATAGATTCAGGAGTGACTGATTTTATTCTACATGTTTTTGTGATTATATTTCACTTCTATTAATTAAATATGAGACAACTTCATTTTGAGAACTGACACTATATACGTAGGAAGTAATATAAATTCAGAAAAAAAAAAAAAAAAAAAAGACAAAAACTCCAAATAAAAAAAAAAAAAGACAGAAACTCAAAATAGTAACGAATTATGTTCATATCAACAATTCAAAACCTAAAATGGAGTCTTGGAACAAATCTTCCTTTATCAATCTCAATTAATTGATTATTTCATATTACCTTTGCATGCTCAAACAAGAAATACAACTAAAATTCATGGATTTTCCAGCAACCCAAACACAATTCTCTTATTCCTTCACTTTCACCTATATTCATTCTTCAATTTCTACTGTGGCCTCACACATTTCATTTTACAAAATCCATTCGCTGCCTCAATTTTCACCATTCATTCACAACTCTTCTTCTCATCCAATCCCCAATTCTCTCTCTAATTTCCAACCAAAACTCAAACAAAACTGCTAGAAAACAAAAATCTAATTTGCAGTCCCGTCGCCTCATCTTTACTAATCAAGAACTTCAACTCTCTATGATTTCACAATTGATTGCTCAGCCGCCGTTACCACCTCAGTCGCCTCCTCCACCACGTCGAACCACCATTCTTTATCTAACTTTGAATCTGGAATTGAAACCACCAACACAGTCGATTTAGCCACGACCTTCACCTCCCAATGCTTCTTCTTCCCTTCCCCTACCATCTCCAACTCCATTATAGACTCAATATCAGCGTTATCATCACTCGCATCAACCTCATCTTCCTCTCCGGAAAAACCACTGGAATATGATACTATTGTCGTTCCAACGTACTTCGTGGACCCCTTCATCCACTTCCGTCGATCCATGCAAGAAATGGTGGAAACGCGTGAACTTATTGATTTAAAATCTAACAGATTACTTGCATCAGCTTCTCATGCGCTATCTATCCATAAACCCCCAAGAGCACCCATAAATTCATCATCAGAGCTTGGTTGGGAACGGGAGGTTATGATGTATTTAATAATTTGCCAATAAAGAAAGCATCAAGCGATCTGAAATTCAATCCATCATATGAACGATCGAATGAAGATCAAGAGAGGTTTCACATGAAGCTCTAGTCATCAATATTCAATAAAAAATACAACCAACGTTTTATCAATCAAGCTACTGCATCAAAATTTCATGTCTCGGTTTAAGGCAAAGTATGCTACATTATCAGATGATAACAAATTGAAAGAGGCACTACAGCAATATCCTAAAAAAGTTCATATTAAAGCATGGATTCAACACTGAAATGCACATAAAAAATGCATGCTGTAATAGAACAAATTCATGCAGATGCTCAATAGATAAAAAGATGAAATAGGAACTAAGCGTGATACATAGATGACAGGATGCATTATCACTTCAATCATTTACAGATGGAGTCATCCAAGTTATTTACCGGTGTAACGAATGCTTATTATCCCTGGAATATGATGATCCTCTTGAAGCCCACCAAAATGGGCTGTCAGACTCTCAAACTCTCGTGAAATGCACAACCAAGTAAATGCAACAGTTACTGAGTGACATAATGTGGCCTGAGCATAGTGTGCTTCACTGCTATTGATAGAAGTCCTCTCCACGTGGTTGAATACATAGGGGATAGCTGATAGGTGAGCCGACTCATAAGAGAAGCTTACAGAAGCAACCTGAAGTCTGCTTCTACGAGTTTGTCTGATCAATCTAGTTCAAGAATTATGATCCCACAAATATTCACTTCATTAAGCAATAAACAATGATTCAGGAGGTGCCAAGCCAACTGCCTTCATATCATAACAGAAGCAACCCGTAGTTTCCTTCAAGTTTGTCTAATCAATCTTGTTCAAGAATTCTACTTCCACAAATAGATTTCACTTCATTAAACAATGATTCAGGAGGTACCAAGCCAGCTGCCTTCATCTTGTAAAGAAGTTTAATGGCCTCAATGCAAAATCCATGTTGTATGAAAGTAGTAAGCATTGCATTCCAGCAGGCGTCAGTTCTCGCATCTTCGCTTATCTCGAAAGCCCTTGCCGCGTCCTTCACAAAACCACATCTCCCATACACGTCAATCAAAGCACACTGCACATAACTGTTGAATTCTGCTCCAACTTTTATCACATTGGCATGAACTTGTCTACCACAATATCCCCCATCCCCCACCTGACCACAAGCCTTCAGAACACTCGAAAATGTGTAGCTATTCTTCCTCACTCCTTCTCTCCCCATCTCCCTAAAAATATTGACCGCTCCCTCATATTCATCTTCACGACAGAAACTAGCAATCCTAGCTGTCCAAACAGCAGTATTTCGACTATAAACCTGATCAAAGCAAAGTTCAGCTCCTACAGAAAACTTACATTTACCATAAAAATTAATCAAGAAACTAGTCAAAACTGCATTTCTTGAAAATCCCATTTTCAATAGCCAGCCATGAATTTGCATCCCAAGTTCCAAGTCCATTGTATTCGCACAAGCCTTAAGGACACAAACAAATATCCCAGACAGTGCAAACTTGATCTTGTCATCATGTGGATCTCTGAATTGTTCTTCACATAACATTTCAATAAACAGATCAATTGCTTCTCTATGATTACCATTTTCAACATAACCAGCAATCAAGACAGCCCATGAGGTAAAATTCCTCACAGACATTTTATCAAACACTTGGTGTGCGTTCTCAAAACACCCACAGGAAACAAACATCAACAACAGAAGATTAGCCAATGTTAAATTCAAACAAACCCCACTTTTCCTCATATGCAAGTACAATTCAATGGCCTTCAAAGGGTCGCCAATTTTGGTGCACTCTTTGATGAGCGATATGTAAATATCCAATGATATGGGCAAATTAAGGCTGTCCATTAAGTACAAAATGTCTGAGGTAGATGTTTTAAGATTGGCGCTTGACTTTGTGGGGTGTGGTTTAACTTCAATAACAGGTTGAGAAGGTATGGATTTTGGTCTGTGAAGCGGTAGTTGAATCTGAATTGGAGGGATCGATTGATGTTTGATTAGAGTAATATTCTTACTTTGAATGTAGTTTTTGTGTTCCTTTGGATACGTGGTCACATGGTATGTTGGTGCTTTCGGATAGGACGCTGTAAGTTCCATTATTTTAGAGCATTGATGTTGCTGCCACCGGCTATGTCAAACGAACGAGAACTCGAGAAGCAATAAGTTTATGTATTATAGTATTCATTGGGAATCGAAATATAAGTATAATTTTTTTATCTTTTAAAGAGACAAAATAGAATAATAATTTCTAGCACCACTGCCGTTATAACATCAATTTAAAAGACGCTATGCAATTGGCCTAATGAAATGTAGAACTAAGTATTCTATTCAATTATACATTTCATTTAATGTCACATCAGTGCTACATAGACTCACATTACACGAGAACATATTTCGGAACTCATTGCTGTGGGGGCAACTTTCTCTTCTTTTTGAAGGGGTATTATAGTTGGCGAACAAGGATTTGTATTGAAAGCTTGAAGCTTTGGGTGTTGAGGGGGAATTTTTTTGTTCAAATCCAAGCCCCAGTCATCCTCCCCACTTCCAAACCATTTCAGTCTCATATTTCAAGTGTAATACATGATGATGTACTCCATGCCGTATCTTGGAGTGAGTTTACATTTCACGCTTCCTACATTTGCTCTGTTTTTTCGTTCTTTCCAAATTCACACCATTCAGTTAGTAATTAGTACTTAAAAAGGTAATATATCCTCTTTCCTTTTGACTATGAAAAACCCTGCAAGTTGCCCACTAATCCCCCAAAACCAACATCATTAATTTACATATTTACAGATCTGTAGCCTTAACCCCGGGATATTTTGCTGTAAGGCTAGGCATTAAGAAGTAGGATTTTACTTTCTTGCCAAAATAAAAATTATTAGTAGACTTTTCCCCCTCAGCACCAGAAGCTTCAAGCTTTCAATACATATTGATATTCTTATCCACCAAGTTTTTAATGATGTTTTCCTGCCTATGGTGACTGATTTAATGTTGGCGGTGAAATGAGCTGGGGGCTTGAGGAAGAAGATGATGGGAGGTGGGGATTGTAGAAGAAGATGGAGAATAAGATGGGGAAGGAAGAAAATGTTTTAAGATTATAATATCCTTCCATTTTGAAAAAAAGAATTGACTACACATGTTCGCTTAATGGAGAAATTGGATGAAAATAAACAAAAAGACATTTTGCGCAATGAAAGACGTAATTAAGGGTGAAAATATAAAAAAAATGAAGGATTTTGCTACTTGTACATAAAAAATGTACATATTAAATTACATAATATGATGTGAATGGAAAAAATTGGATGAAAAAATTAATTGTGTTTTAAATTGACAAATAATAAAGTGTCATGTAGCATTATTTAATCAATTATGCAAATCTTGATATACATATAACAATATCCAAAAATGAAAGGTATGAACGTTTTGTATAATAATAATGAAAGATAAGTAAGTTATGAGCTAATTACCTTTGACATAATACCAGAGTTGAGCAAAAGACCTGAATTCATGTCTCATGGCCACCACTTTATGAAAATTGTGTTTATCAAAAAATAAATTTTGTGATATATGTGAGAACATAAATGAGTAGTTATAATCCATTTATAACCGCTCCAACTTTCGAAAGAGATAATTATCAAACTCCCCTCCTAGGAGACAAAACTGTCTATGACCAAGCAAACCATAATGATCCAACGGCAGTAATATTTTCATGATTTTGACTTGAAAATGGAATCTAAAAAGGGGCCGGTCGTTGAACAGAGTATACAAAGTTGTGCTTTATAATATGATTTTCATCAAAATGTTAGCATTTAAGTAAAGTTTATAACAAACAAAACCTTGTTTTACATCATTGAATTATCATTGCAGACAAAAACTGCCATGCAAGTTGTTGAAATTTGGTTTAAAGATTGAAAATTTGATTTGAAGTATAAAATTTGGAAAATGACTTTATGTCAATTTCGACCAAATATTCGGACTTGATTCGATAGTATAATTATGAAAATAAATAGACTAACTTATTGTACTCGTCGAGTATTGTTATCACATAGTAAGTTTTTTTTATAAAAATTTAAACCAATCCAAATGGATATTCATATCACAAAATATCAAATCAAACGTTGTAGGAAAAATAAAGTTCGAAAAAAGGACATTAGAATGAAGTTGGGATTGAAAAGAAATATAAACAATCACGACTTTATGTTTCATAATTAATGCAAAATTATTTTTTATATTTAAAATTTATCAATCATATATTTATCATGATCGCACTTCAATATTTCCAACAAATTTTAAATCGGTTAAAACGCATATTTGTAACCTAAAATAATGAATCAAACGTTTAAAAAAAAAAGCTCAGACGGCTTAGCCGAGCCGAGCCATAAAGCCATTTGGCTCGGCTTGGCTCGGGATATGGCTTATGAACAGTAAATATTACTCACTCTTTTATATTAGTTATAGATAGATATCCTTTCATTATGAAAAAAAGAATTGACTACACATGTTTGCTTAATGGAGAAATTGGATGAAAATAAACAAAAAGACATTTTGCGCAATAAAAGACGTAATTAAGAGTGAAAATATCAAAAAAATGAAAGATTTTGCTACCTGTACATAAAAAATGTACATATTAGATTACATAATATGATGTGGATGGAAAAAATTGGATGAAAAAATTGATTGTGTTTTAAATTGGCAAATAATAAAGTGTCATGTAGCATTATTTAATCAATTATGTAAATCTTGAAATACATATAACAGTATCCAAAAATGAAAGGTATGAACGTTTTGTATAATAATAATGAAAGATAGGTAAGTTATGAGCTAATTA